ATGGGGCGGATATATGGATCAGGGGCGGACTGACAACTCATGGGGCCCCCGGGCAATAGGGGAACATGGGCGGATATATGGATCAGGGGTGGACTGATAACTCATGGGGCCCCCGGCATGGGCAATAGGGGACCATGGGGCGGATATATGGATCAGGGGCGGACTGACAACTCATGGGGCCCCCGGGCAATAGGGGATCATGGGGCGGATCTATGGGGGGCGGATGGGGCCCCCGGGCAATATGGATCAGGGGCGGACCGACAACTCAGGTGGCCCCTGGGCAATAGGGGATCATGGGGGCGGATATATGGATCAGGGGCGGACCGACAACTCATGGGGCCCCCGGGGCCCCAATAGGGGATCATGGGGCGGATATATGGATCAGGGGCGGACCGACAACTCAGGGGGCCCCCAATAGGGCAATAGGGGATCATGGGGCGGATATATGGATCAGGGGCGGACCGACAAACTCATGGGGCCAGGGGGCCCGGGCAATAGGGGAACATGTGGCGGATATATGGATCAGGGGCGGACCGACAACTCATGGGGCCCCCGGGCAATAGGGGAACATGGGGCGGATATATGGATCAGGGGGCGGACTGACAACTCATGGGGCCCCCGGGCAATAGTGGGAACATGAGGCGGATATATGGATCAGGGGCGGGGACTGAGCGGCTATATAACTCATGGGGCCCCCGGGCAATAGGGGGAACATAGGGGCGGATAATCATTGATCAGGGGCGGACTGACAATCATGGGGCCCCCGGGCAATAGGGGAACATGAGGCGGATACAGTGGGGCAAAAAAGTATTTAGTCCGCCACCAATGGTGCAAGTTCTCCACTTACAAAGATGAGAGAGGCCTGTAATTGGCATCATAGGGAGACCTCAACTATGAGAGACAAAATGAGAAAACAAATCCAGACAATCACATTGGCTGATCTGGAAGAATTTACCGTATTTTCCGGCGTATAAGACGACCCCCTACTTTTCCTGTTAAAATGTAGTGTTTGGGCTATACTCGCCGTATAAGACTTACCCCTCTTCCAATGCACACCAGTGGGAAGAATCGTGCCCCATCATTAGTACAGTGGGAGGAATAGTGCCCGTCATTGGTGTCAGTGGGAGGAATAGCACCCCATCATTGGTGTCAGTGGGAGGAATAGCACCCCATCATTGGTGTCAGTGGGAGGAATAGTGCCCCATCATTAGTATCAGTGGGAGGAATAGTGCCCGTCATTGGTGTCAGTGGGAGGAATAGCACCCCATCATTGGTGTCAGTGGGAGGAATAGCACCCCATCATTGGTGGTCAGTGGGAGGAATAGTGCCCCATCATTAGTATCAGTGGGAGGAATAGTGCCCGTCATTGGTGTCAGTGGGAGGAATAGCACCCCATCATTGGTGTCAGTGGGAGGAATAGCACCCCATCATTGGTGTCAGTGGGAGGAATAGTGTCCCATCATTGGTGTCAGTGGGAGGAATAGCACCCCCATCATTGGTGTCAGGGAGGAATAGCACCCCATCATTGGTGTCAGTGGGAGGAATAGTGTCCCATCATTGGTGTCAGTGGGAGGAATAGCACCCCATCATTGGTGTCAGTGGAGGAATAGTGTCCCATCATTGGTGTCAGTGGGAGGAATAGTGTCCCATCATTGGTGTCAGTGGGAGGAATAGCACCCCATCATTGGTGTCAGTGGGAGGAATAGCACCCCATCATTGGTGTCAGTGGGAGGAATAGTGTCCCATCATTGGTGTCAGTGGGAGGAATAGCACCCCATTTGGTGTCAGTGGGAGGAATAGCACCCATCATTGGTGTCAGTGGGAGGAATAGTGTCCCATCATTGGTGTCAGTGGGAGGAATAGTGTCCCATCATTGGGTGTCAGTGGGAGGAATAGCACCCCATCATTGGTGTCAGTGGGAGGAATAGCACCCCATCATTGGCGTCAGTGGGGAAAATAGCGCCCCATCATTGGTGTCAGTGTGAGGAATCGTGCCCATCATTGGTGTCAGTGGGAGGAATAGTGTCCCATCATTGGTGTCAGTGGGGGGTGGAATAGTGCCCCATCATTGGTGTCAGTGGGGGGGGGAATAGTGTCCCATCGTTGGTGTCAGTGGGAGGGGGGGGGAAGTGCCCCATCGTCGGTGTCAGTGGGAGGAATAATGCCCCATCATTGGTATCAGTGACACCAATGATGGGCACTATTCCTCCCACTGACACTTGCTGACCCCTGTTCAGTATGGTGCTGCTGCAGCAAGCATATATGGTTGCAGCAGCACCTGTGCACGGCACACTTACCTTCACTTGATTTTCGCGGGGGCCGCTCGGCTCCGCCTCCTCCCCGGTGATTGGCCGCCTGTGTGCCTTTCCTGAGCTACAGTTCTGGCGGCCAATCACCAGTGAGGAGGCGGAGCCGAGCAGCCGCACGAACATCCAGTGGCCGAACTGAAGGAAGGAGCAGCCGCGCTTCCGGATCCGGATCGTCGTGGGACCGGAGCCAGGTAAGAAACAGAAGCCCCTGCCCACCCCTGTACTTAGTTTCACTTCCGTTGGAAGGGGGGGGGGCGGCGGCGGCACCGCACCGCCCCCTAAAAAGTGCCAGCATGCCGTATACCGGCGTATAAGACGACCCCCGACTTTTGAGAAGATTTTCAAGGGTCAAAAAGTCGTCTTATACGCCGGAAAATACGGTATTTGCAAATTATGGTGGAAAATAAGTATTTGGTCACCTACAAACAAGCAAGATTTCTGGCTCTCACAGACCTGTACCTTCTTCTTTAAGAGGCTCCTCTGTCCTGCACTCATTACCTGTATCAATGGCACCTGTTTGAACTTATCAGTATAAAAGACACCTGTCCACAACCTCAAACAGTCACACTCCAAACTCCACTATGGTGAAGATCAAAGAGCTGTCGAAGGACACCAGAAACAAAATTGTAGACCTGCACCAGGCTGGGAAGACTGAATCTGCAATAGGCAAGCAGCTTGGTGTGAACAAATCAACTGTGGGAGCAATAATTAGAAAATGGAAGACATACAAGACCACTGATAATCTCCCTCGATCTGGGGCTCCACGCAAGATCTCACCCCGTGGGGTCAAAATGATCACAAGAACGGTGAGCAAAAATCCCAGGACCACACGGGGGGGACCTAGTGAATGACCTGCAGAGAGCTGGGACCAACGTAACAAAGCCTACCATCAGTAACACACTACGACACCAGGGACTCAGATCCTGCAGTGCCAGACGTGTCCCCCTGCTTAAGCCAGTACATGTCCGGGGCCCGTCTGAAGTTTGCTAGAGAGCATTTGGATGATCCAGAAGAGGATTGGGAGAATGTCATATGGTCAGATGAAACCAAAATAGAACTGTTTGGTAGAAACACAACTCGTCGTGTTTGAAGGAGAGAGAATGCTCAGTTGCATCCAAAGAACACCATACCTACTGTGAAGCATGGGGGTGGCAACATCATGCTTTGGGGCTGTTTTCTCCGCAAAGGGACCAGGACGACTGATCCATGTACAGGACAGAATGAATGGGGCCATGTATCGTGAGATTTTGAGTGCAAACCTCCTTCCATCAACAAGGGCATTGAAGATGAAACGTGGCTGGGTCTTCCAACATGACAATGATCCCAAACATACCGCCCGGGGGCAATGAAGGAGTGGCTTCGTAAGAAGCATTTCAAGGTCCTGGAGTGGCCTAGCCAGTCTCCAGATCTCAACCCCATAGAAAACCTTTGGAGGGAGTTGAAAGTCCGTGTTGCCAGCGACAGCCCCAAAACATCACTGCTCTAGAGGAGATCTGCATGGAGGATGGGCCAACATACCAGCAACAGTGTGTACCAACCTTGTGAAGACTTCCAGAAAACGTCTGACCTCTGTCATTGCCAACAAAGGATATATAACAAAGTATTGACATGAACTTTTCATATTCACCAAATACTTATTTTCCACCATAATTTGCAAATAAATTCTTTCCCAATCAGCCAATGTGATTGTCTGGATTTGTTTTCTCATTTTGTCTCTCATAGTTGAGGTCTCCCTATGATGCCAATTACAGGCCTCTCTCATCTTTGTAAGGGGGGGAACTTGTACAATTGGTGGGGACTAAATACTTTTTAGCCCCACTGTATATGGATCAGGGGCGGACTGATAACTCATGGGGCCCCCGGGCAATAGGGGATCATGGGGCGGATATATGGATCAGGGGCGGACTGATAACTCATGGGGCCCCCCGGCAATAGGGGATCATAGGGCGGATATATGGATCAGGGGCGGACTGACAACTCATGGGGCCCCCGGGCAATAGGGGAACATGGGGCGGATATATGGACCAGGGGCGGACCGACAACTCATTGGGCCCCCGGGCAATAGGGGATCATGGGGCGGATATATGGATCAGGGGCGGACTGACAACTCATGGGGCCCCCGGGCAATAGGGGATCATGGGGCGGATATATGGATCAGGGGCGGACTGACAACTCATGGGGCCCCCGGGCAATAGGGGATCATGGGGCGGATATATGGATCAGGGGCAGACTGACAACTCATGGGGCCCCTGGGCAATAGGGGATCATGGGGCGGATATATGGATCAGGGGCGGACTGACAACTCATGGGGCCCCCGGGCAATAGGGGATCATGGGGCGGATATATGGATCAGGGGCGGACTGACAACTCATGGGGCCCCCGGGCAATAGGGGATCATGGGGCGGATATATGGATCAGGGGCGGACTGACAACTCATGGGGCCCCCGGGCAATAGGGGATCATGGGGCGGATATGGATCAGGGGCGGACTGACAACTCATGGGGCCCCCGGGCAATAGGGGATCATGGGGCAGATATGGATCAGGGGCGGACTGACAACTCATGGGGCCCCCGGGCAATAGGGAATCATGGGGCCCTTGTGTCCTTGCCCACACTCAAAGCACACCCAAAAAAGCCTATAAAAAAGGTACCAGGGGCATTTCATGGGGCCCCCTACTGACCCCGGGCCCTCGGGCAGTGCCCAAGTGCTCGAATGGTCAGTCCACCCCTGATATGGATGTTTTGTTACTGTTTTTTTTTTTTTAATTTTTCTACTAACCTTTATATATATTTGAGGTGAATTTTTTGCACATTGAGATTTGACCTATCCTCAACCTCGATCACTCTTCAGAGGTGTGGGGGTCTTCATAGGGCTCGTAGATAACGCATTCAATTTTAGGTTCATTTGACCACATATCACGGTTTCTTACACGTATTTATGATTACTGTATCACACTCTTTACGTCTTCCAATCACAGGACGCTTTGTATTCGTGAGAAAATGCAAAGCATGCTCTGACAAACGATTTTTCTGAACCTCCATAGGAGAGTCGAATGAAATTCCATGGCCAGCTGTAGCTATGAAGACTACAAGAGTTACCTGATTGTCAGGTTCTCCATGACCTCCGGGAAATGCTCCAGTTCTTCCTTCAGTTCCTGGAATGTAATGGAACCGCTGTTGTCCTGATCAGCTGACTGGAACAGCACCAAAGTCAAAGCATCCAACTTCTCCTCCGGCAGGGAGATGGCGCTCTCCAGCAGGCAGGACTTCAGCACGGTGCGCAGCTCATCCGGCTCAATGGAACCACTGCCTGCATTGACAAACACACGGTCAGCACAACATGGACTGACCAACGTCTATTGTGATCAGGGGCGGACTGACAACTCATGGGGCCCCCGGGCAATAGGGGATCATGGGGCCCCTGTGTCCTTGCCCAAACTCAAAAAAGCCTATGAAAAAAGGTACCAGGGGCATCTCATGGGGCCCCCTACTGACCTCGGGCCCTCGGGCAGTGCCTGAGCTTCCAAATGGTCAGTCGGCCCCTGATTGTGATTCTGTAGACTTAGACTGAAGCAGTTTATCGTGGCAGCACTTAATGTTGGTTAGTATAGATCTCAGGTCTCCAAACTTTCTAGACTTTCATTTCCTTCAGACTGTAGCGGGGGCTTAATTGTAGCCCCCAGGGAGTAGTTATTGCCCCAGCATCGGTGGGAGATGAGAATGTCTCAGGCATGCTGGTCAGTGGGAGTAAAAACAATTATATGGTGCCTGTGGTCAGTAGGAGGGAAAGTGCAGTCATTGGTGTCAGTGGGAATAATAGTTCCCCTTTGTTGGTATCAGTTGGAGGAATTGTGCATCATCATTGGTATCAGTGGGAGGAATAGTGTCCCATCATTGGTGTCAGTGGGAGGAATAGTGTCCCATCATTGGTATCAGTGGGTGGAATAGTGCCCCATCATTGGTGTCAGTGGGAGGAATAGTGCCCCATCGTTGGTGTCAGTGGGAGGAATAGTGCCCCATCATTGGTGTCAGTGGGAGGAATAGTGCCCCATCATTGGTATCAGTGGGAGGAATAGTGCCCCATCATTGGTATCAGTGGAGGAATAGTGCTCCATCATTGGTGTCAGTGGGAGGAATAGTGCCCCATCATTGGTATCAGTGGGAGGAATAGTGCCCCATCATTGGTGTCAGTGGGAGGAATAGTGCCCCATCATTGGTGTCAGTGGGAGGAATTGTGCCCCATCATTGGTGTCAGAGGGAGGATAAGTGCCCCATCGTTGGTGTCAGTGGGAGGAATAGTGCCCCATCGTTGGTATCAGTTGGAGGAATCGTGTATCATCAGTGGTGTCATTGGGAGGAATAGTGCCCCATCATTGGTGTCAGTGGAGGAATCGTGTCCCATCATTGGGTGTCAGTGGGAGGAATAGTGCCCCATCATTGGTATTAGTGAGAGGAATAGTGCCCCATCATTGGTATCAGTGGGAGGAATAGTGTCCCCTCATTGGTATCACTGGGATTAATAGTGCCCCATCATTGGTGTCATTGGGAAGAATAGTGCCCCATCGTTTGTGTTATTGGGAGGAATAGTGTCCCATTGTTGGTGTCATTGGCAGAAATAATGCCCCATCAATGATATTAGTTGTAGGAATAGTGCCCCATCACTGGTATCAATGGAATGAATAGTGCCCCATAGTTGGTGTCATTGAGAGGAATAGTACCCCATCATTGGTGCCATTGGGATGAATAATGTGCGTGGTTGGTGTCATTGGGAGGAATAGTTACCCATCATTGGTGTCAGTGAGAGAAATTATGCCCCAATGTTGGTGCAATTGGGAGACATCGTGTCCCATTGTTGGGAAGAATAGTGCACCAACAATGGTGTCAATGGGAGCAAGGAATGGTGCACCATCGTTGGTGTCATTGGGAGGAATAGTGCCCCATTTCTGGTGTCAGTGGGAGGAGTTATGCCCCAACATTGGTGTCAGTTGTGTCATAAGGCTTGGACCCTCACTACCTTCCATCCTCTACTCGCCTAATTTGCAATTTGAAATAATACAGCAGCACCTTGGTACACACTCACTCATTTCTCTAGCCTAGTAAACTGTAAAGAATAGTTGACTGTTGTTGGGTCACCTGAGTGTAAAGCTGGCCATTCACGGTTCCTGTAGGTGGCTCTATCCCACCCAACTGCCTTTTGCTGAAAAAAAAACTCAAAGCAGCTGGGTGAATAATTGTCGCCCCAACAATGGCGGCATCCAATCAAATGCAGCCATTGTCAGAATCCCAGCAGAGCGATTTGTTCACCTGCACTGTATAGTGTGGATGGAGGAACCTGATTTTCTGTATGGCCAACCTCACCGTGAGCATCGGATTGTAAGGCCACATGCTATATCCCGATTGATTGTAACGGTTATAACTAATGTGCTGTCGGGGTTACTTTAAAAAACAAAAAAATAAAAAATGAAAGGCTTTATAAATGGGATATTTTCTGCTTCTAGAGCAGCAGAGTGTCAGTTATCAGCCCTGAGCGGCGCACACAGGAGGCAGCCTGACACTGGGCTGCCATTTCTGCTCTGACAGGGAGAGAATACGAGGAAATAGCAGCACACAGCCCTGAATCTGACAGGTAAAGCTGCACTGTTTATATAATATACTGTAGGGGGCAAGATTCAAATTGGAACTCAGTTCCGGCACCTCCAGCACTGAATGTGTGTAATGGCAAGAGGGTGGGGTGTCCTGGAGGGTCTATTGTCACTGGTTGCTGGGGGATCTATCATCACTAGGGGGGATTTATTGTTGCAGGGGTGGTTTATTGTTGCTGGTGGGGATCTATTATTGCTGAGGGGGTTCGATTGTTACTGGGAGGGATTAACCATTGAGGGAGGGGTCTATTGTTGCTGGCTGCTGGAGATTCTATTAATGTTGGCTGCTGAGAGATCCACTGTTGCTTGTTGGGGTATATTGTTGCTGGGATGGATCTCTTGTTACAGAGGGTGTTTTTTTGTTGTGGGGGTACTGTTGCTAGGTGGATCTATTGTTGCTGGGGGGTCTTGGTGGGATATTCTGTGGGGGTCTATTATTGCTAGAGAGATTTATTGTTGCTTGGGGGGGTGGCTTGTGCTGTTGTTGCTGGAAATCTATTGTTGTTTTTGGGGGTCTATTGTTGCTGGGGTGGATATATTGTTACTGGGGGATCTATTGCGCCTGGGGGACTGTGGGGATATTTTGTTGAGGGAGGTCTATTTTTGCTGGGGTGGATCTATTGTTACAGGGGATGTTTATTTTGTTGTGGGAAGACTACTGTTGCTGGGGATCTATTGTTGTTTGTGGGGGTCTACTGTTGCTGGGGAGGATATATTGCTACTGGGGGGTATATTCCTCCTAGGCGGCTGGGGGGATTATTTTCTTGTGGGAGGTGTCTATTGTTGCTGGGGTGCATCTGTTGTTATAGGAGGTATTTATTTTGTTGTGGGGAGGCTACTGTTGCTGGGGATCTATTGTTGCTTGTGGGGGTTTATCGTTGCTGGGGTGATTATATTGTTACTGGGGGGGTCTATTGCTCCTGGAGGGCTGGGGGGATATTTTATTTTGGGAGGTGTCTATTGTTGCTCTGGTGGATCGGTTGTTACGGGGGGTTATTTTGTTGTGGGGAGGCTACTGTTGCTGGGGATCTATTGTTTTGTGTGGGGGTCTATTGTTGCTGGGGTGGATATATTGCTACTGGGTGGTCTATTGCTCCTATGGGCTGGGGGATATTTTGTTGTGGGAGGTGTCTATTGTTGCTGGGGTAGATCTATTGTTATAGGGGGTAATGATTTTGTTGTGGGGAGGCTACTGTTGCTGGGGATCTATTGCTGCTTGTGGGGGTCTATTGTTGCGGGAGTGGATATATTTTTACTGGAGGATCTATTGCCCCTGGGGGCTGGGGGATATTTTGTTGTGGGAGGTCTATTGTTGCTGTTGTAGATCTATTGTTACAGGCGGTGGTTTTTTTTGTTGTGGGGGGGCTGCTGTTGCTGTGGGGATCTATATTTGCTGGGGGGACTTGGTGGGATATTTCTGTTGGGGGGGTCTACTGTTGCTGGGGGTAATCTGTTGTTGCTGGGGGGGTCTATTGTTGCTGCAGAGATGCATTGTTGCTGGGAGGGGGTGTTTGGGCTATTGTTGGGGATCTATTGTTGCTGACTGGAAGAAATCTATTTTCCTGCTTTTTTTTGTTATCATTAACAAAAATTCAATACAAGTTACTCAGCACAAAAAGAATGATACTTGGTTCTGTGTTCTCTAAAAAAGGGACGATGCTCAGAGGTGGGTAGGGGGTGGAAACCAGGGACGGTGCTCAGAGGTGGGTAGGGGGTGGAAACCAGGGACGGTGCTCAGAGGTGGGTAGGGGGTGGAAACCAGGGATGGTGCTCAGAGGTGGGTAGGGGGTGGAAACCAGGGACGGTGCTCAGAGGTGGGTAGGGGGTGGAAACCAGGGATGGTGCTCAGAGGTGGGTAGGGGGTGGAAACCAGGGAGGGTGCTCAGAGGTGGGTAGGGGGTGGAAACCAGGGACGGTGCTCAGAGGTGGGTAGGGGGTGGAAACCAGGGAGGGTGCTCAGAGGTGGGTAGGGGGTGGAAACCAGGGACGGTGCTCAGAGGTGGGTAGGGGGTGGAAACCAGGGACGGTGCTCAGAGGTGGGTAGGGGGTGGAAAGCAGGAAGGATGCTCAGAGGTGGGTAGGGGGTGGAAACCAGGGACGGTGCTCAGAGGTGGGTAGGGGGTGGAAACCAGGAAGGATGCTCAGAGGTGGGTAGGGGGTGGAAACCAGGAAGGATGCTCAGAGGTGGGTAGGGGGTGGAAACCAGGAAGGATGCTCAGAGGTGGGTAGGGGGTGGAAACCAGGGACGGTGCTCAGAGGTGGGTAGGGGGTGGAAACCAGGGAGGGTGCTCAGAGGTGGGTAGGGGGTAGAAACCAGGGAGGGTGCTCAGAGGTGGGTAGGTGGGGGGGTGGAAACCAGGGAGGGTGCTCAGAGGTGGGTAGGGGGTGGAAACCAGGGACAGTGCTCAGAGGTGGGTAGGGGGCGGAGACAAGGGGGGGACTCAGAAGGGGGGAGTACCTGCACCTGGCTCTTACCATCCACGTCATACACTTGGAAAAGAAAGCCTAGCTTGTCTGCTTCACTGCCATGGATCAGGAGATGGAGAGCCTTCATTAATTCATCCAGCGTGATGGAGCCGCTGCCATCCGAATCGAACAAACCAAAAAAATGCTCTGCAAAAAAAGACTACGAAATAACGACAACATTAGAAATATAAATACGCCGAATATCTACACATTGTATTCTTTATTCCATTGCAGACAGGATACAAAATAACAGCAGCAGTTTCCAAGGTGCCATGACACCCTTATGGGGCTAATTGCCTTGATAACTGTCGCTGTTACTTTGTATCCAATTTGCAGAAGAATAAACCTACAGTCACATGTGCTGCGCATTGGGAACGTGTGCGAAACTGGACGCTTTTCCAACGCACACAGGAACATGCCGCCCATTAGCAGAGGTG